CACGGAGCATTAAGCTATGGGAAAAGGTAGTTTTCCACAAGGATATGAAAGAAAGAAGAGACGGAAAACTAGAGGAAGGCTGTAGTTGTGCAAAAACCTTGGCTTTTTTTTTTTTTTTTTTAAGGGCAGGCAAATTTGATAATGAAAGCAATTAGTAAATAGCAGGAAGTGACAGGAAATGAATATGTAGTAGCAGTATTGCTATGTTGTTTGAGTTGTTGCTCTTGCTACCTGTTGACCCTGTTGGTACAACTGCAGACTAACAAATGTGTTTGCAGCTGGGCATCGCTTGTAGGGTAGAGTTCAGGAATCATTAAGTTTAGCTACTATATTCCTCATGCTTGTAAAAAAAGTTAATATACAATAAGAATTGGTTTGAATCAAATATATTTGAGTAATTGGTTGGGGTGTTTTCCCCTAAATGTCCAGGTTAACTCACAGATTTAGATCTATTTTAGGATAAGACAAAAGTTTTGGTTTTCGTAGGCAGCCAGCTGAGCAACTAGTGAGAATTTTAAATTCCAAGGACTAGGGCTAGCGTCTTGCCCAAAGGAATCCTGGTCAAGATTTGGAGCCACTATGAATTACCATGATACAAATAATGATCCTGCTTTTTGAGGTATAAATCCTGCCTGAAAACAGGAGATGGCCTCTGGCCTGCTGAAGCTGCTGTGCTGCGAGGGTGGATAGTCGCTGCTGAATTTGCATGGCTGCATTCCACACAAGGCACGCATGTGTCTTCCCCAGCTCACTCGCTGTGAAAAAGAATGCTGGTGGCTTTGCTACAAACGAGTTTCTTTTTATCTGGTGTAGTTGGGTCGGGTCAAAATGAGAACGTGCATGGGAGGATGAATACGTACTGTGTTTAAAAACTTATATTGATGCATACAAACTATCAGAGGTGTTAACTGTGTTGTAGTCTGAATGCCAAATGCATTCCAAGCTCATGGAGAGGCCTGAGAGGCTTCGTTTTATACTGGTTAAAGAATTCATGACCCATGAATTGAATTAAAGACTGCTTTCAAATTCTCCTTAAATATGGATCTGATTAAATCAATTGCTGTAACAGCTTAGCCAACTAGTGTGGAAGGTCATCTTTTGTCTGTGATATTTTTGTAGGCCAGTAAGAACGTGAGACCAGAATTGGAAAGAGAAATGAGAAGCAAGAAAAGCAGATGCTTAAAAATATTCAGTATGATCCCTATGTAAATAATATTAAAAAGAGCTCAAACTGCTAAACCAGAGTGGATAAATTAACTACCTGTGATAACACACCAGTCTGCTGAAGAACTTGACTTGGTACCTCAAATGCATATATACATCATGTGGCAGTTAAAGCGAAAACTCTAGTTGATAAACAGGAAGGAATTAACATTACAAATGTGTATAGGAAGCTTGTACATGTCAAAATGCTGATGCTTCTGATAACCTGTGAATCACAGAAAACACAGGTTAGAACAGTTGTGCTCTGTGCATACACGAAGCTCTATTACGGAAGCTCCTATGTCAGTAAGCAAGTCTGAACCTTTCAGTGATGGTAGGGTCCCTGAAAGACACATCTACATAGAAAAAGTAAACTAAATGCTTTTATATTACATGTGCTCCTCGGAGCAGAGGGAGCAGCTAATGAAATTATCAAATTAAAATGCATTTGAGAGGTTAGACCTTGCAGGACACTCTGGGTGCACAAGAGCTCTTCAGAGAGAACATTCCAAAGTCGTGCTGCTGTCATACTTAGTTTTCCCCCACCTTAATGCACCAGGGCAGGACATTCTTGCTATGTTTGTAAATCTTTTTGGGGGAATGGTGGAACTTCTGGTGTTTGAAATATCCTTACTTCTGCTACTTACCTGGGACAGTGGGAAGAGGTCAGCTGGGAAAAATGTGAGGATTTCTTTCAGCTTGGCTTAAAGATCCTAGGCTATGATTTGTCAAGGTGCCTAAGAAAGTTAGAAAATCATCTTGGAGCAAATTTTTCTTCCTGTAGCTCAGAAAAGACACACTGACCTTTTATGCTTAGAAAAATTTTTCCTTTAGCAAATGGCCTGGCTAAGAAATGGAGTTAGTTGATCTTTCAGTACCTTTGAAAGTTCCCTGAAACAAATATCAGGCCTTATATTAATAAGGCCCATAACTCTAATAAGCCTCTATAGTTGCTGTCTGATTGCTGAAGGAGTATAAGGAGTTTAAGTAGATCTTTTCAACAGAAGAAATGCAAGGTTTCTTGAAAGAAAATAAAAACTTAGGCTGAAAATCTTGGCCTTGAAACTTAATCTATCAAAAATGAGTATGAAAAAATTCAATGTAAAGGACAGTGTTTTGGAAATGCTGGTATGTACAAGCATTTTCAAGTTTAGCAATTCTAGCAATAGGTACTTTCTGCTAACAACTACTGCAATTAGAAGGCTGGTATTTTAACTATGCAGTTGATTCTTTGTCTTAGCTAAGTTGCTGTCTTTCTCTATCTTGTTGAAAATTTTACCATTTCATTCCATGCATGTGTTCCATGTTTGTGTTCATTTAATAGACACAAAGAAAACACAAGCCTTTAGTTTTCTGAATTTTCCCCGACTAATTTTCTCTATTCTGTCAGTTCGAGCTGTTCCTTGTCTGCTGATTTAATTTATCAAAATCTTCCAGCCCACTGTCATCCTTTGGCATTCTCTTTTGTGCTGGATTTATACTTCTCAAATATCTTGATGTATATCTGACTGGTAGGAGGGCACATTAAAAAAAAAAAAAAGGTAGTATTGAAAAATGAAATTGTTGATGTAATTTTTTTTTTTCCTCTGCTACCTACAGAAGGACATGCATGGCTCAGTTTCCATACGTTCAATAGTCCTCCTTTTGCACTTAGTATATTGATACTCTCCTCAGAACACAGAGTTTACTTTCGTTTCCTTGCTCTGATATATGGTCTCAACAGCAAATAAAAAGAAGGAAAAGGAAAGGCAGACTTTAGTGTATTCTTAAGATATATTGATTTTCCCTACTCCTACAAGACAACAAAATGTCTGGACGTTTCTGGGGGAAAGGTTGTATTCAGCTGCTTTAGACTGAAAAAAAATATTATATATGTTTATATCACATAGATAGTTGTTCTCTGTATTGCAAACAGGTGGTATTGTAAAAATAATGCATTTCTAATCTTTAGAAATGAGTTGCACAATTGAAAAAGCCTTAGCAGATGCAAAAGCACTGGTGGAACGGCTAAGAGAACATGACAATGCAGCAGAAGCTCTTATTGAACAGACTACAGCTCTTAACAAGCGGGTTGAAGCAATGAAACAGGTTTGTTTTTCAATTTTGTTTACTCCATTAAAAGAAAAACTTGGAGCCACATAATTTAAAATAATTCTTGTGTGCTACTGTACCTTGTAGAGTTAGTATGTTATTTGGTTAATCCTTTAATACCATACTAAGTATTTTCATTATAGGTGTGACTATGATTTAAAAATAGGTTGTTTATCTATTTAGTTTGATCTTGCGAAGTTTTCTCTGTTACGCTAGCTTAAACATTGAAAAGTAGCATTTATTTGAAGAACACTGGTAGAACTGGGGTTGATATCTCACAAACCATCGTGTGGTGTCTTGTGTTTTGCTCTTCTGTGAAATACTACTTGTTTTATTAATTTCAACATGCACATCTAATCATATAGAGGCCCTGTCATGCTTTCTTCTGTTCAGAATACTTTATCTTCTCACAATCTCCTTCTGTTTCAGAGCAGCCTCTCAGGCTTATTCGTGATCATTTCCATTCTGATGTTAAGCTATTGAAGGCATGTTGTTAGATTGAGCGTGACTTTCACTAGAGAACTTCTGCAAAAACGTAAAGGTGTCTACTGACTTCCCATATGGGAGTTCATCCTGTCATTTTAATAGAACACAGGATGAGTTAATGGGCCTGTAAAATAATAAAACCCTGCATGTGCTTCATCCCTGTAAAACTAGTCATGCAGAGCCTTCATAACTTCAAATCAAGAGTATTAAATTTACCCATTTGTTAAGAGTCAGGATCCATTCATTCAGGTCCATGGGACTTGTACCCATACAGCCTTGTGGTTTAAGGTATTGGAAAGCCACAGTAAATATCTAGAGGTTAATACCTCATGGTTTTTCTTTACCATATGTATATCAGTTTTAAATTACTTGATGGCAAATTTGACCTGCATTAATTGAAGGTTAAATAATGCCCACTACACACTTCTGAGGTATGAAACTTGTTTAAAAACAAAGGTGATACTTTTGTGTCTCTAAAAGGCAGTATGTTAGCAACACCTTCAGAAGTGTGTGTGTGTGTTTGATATTATTGTTTAAAAACAAGCATTATCTTGCTGGTTACAGACTGTGACTGACTTTAGAACTGGTCCTTTGTGACTTGCTGAGCAATGCTTGCCTTTGGTTACTCAAATATGTTGTGGTTGGGTTTTTTTTGTTTGTTTGTTTTAATAACTAGTACCAAGAAGAAATTCAAGAGCTCAATGAAGTAGCAAGACATCGTCCTCGGTCTACGTTAGTGATGGGTATCCAACAAGAAAACAGACAGATTAGGGAATTGCAACAGGAAAATAAAGGTAAAATGCAAATATTCTGTCCTTTACAAGTTCCAGCCTGCACTACTGGAATCAGTGAGACTTTTACCATTGATCTAGTCTCAAAAAGTTGTTGTAGAAGAAATTTTTTCCTTCTAATCTCAGTTTGTCAGTTTAACTGATTGTAATGCAATCTAATAAAGAGTCCTAATGTCCAACCATTGGGACTATGATTAACAAAAAGAGAAAGTTGTGGAAAATTACTTTTTCAGTCTTTATCTAATGTTCAGTACAAGAAATATAACTTACTTCTACAATATAGGTATTTGGAAATGTGTTTTCCCATTGCTAAACTATAACTAATTTAGGAGCAGCCAGGACAAGTTGCAGTGTGAGTGCAGCAGTATAATTCCTTCTGGAATTCTGTACACTAGGAATGTACTGTTCCTCCCGGAATACCTTAGGTATTCTAACAGTTATATTCAGCAAAGGAGTCAATCTCGATTTGTATGAGTCTTGTCTTATCACAGAAGTTATTTGTCCTTTGATCCAGTATATTTTGAACACAAGCATTTTTTAACTCTTATCTTACCTAGCTGCAGATTAAAACAGATCTGTAAACTTCTTTCCAGCTTTTGTACAGTGTTGCTTATAGTGGCTAGAGTAAAGACATACAGAGAGCCTACCTAAGTTTTATGGTGCAAGGAGAGGGGACCCTCAATGAAGGGCTTATTTCTGTTTTCCCAGGCCGAAGTACTTCTGCATTTTATTTCAGTTCTTTGCTAAATTTTAACTGAATTTAAAATTATGTTGGTAGAACTACGCACATCTCTTGAAGAACATCAGTCTGCTTTGGAACTAATAATGAGCAAGTACAGAGAACAGATGTTTAGGTTGCTTATGGCAAGCAAAAAGGATGATCCAAGTATAATAATGAAGTTAAAAGAGCAACATTCCAAGGTAACGACATCATCTCTTTTTGCCTTTGTTTTTTTAGTTAACAAACTAACTTAAGTTAGTTATTGAATAACTGAGCACACACTTCTCTTTCCTCCTTCAACCCTTGGTTCTTGTTTCTGTATTGATTAGGATTGCTAAGCAGAATCCAGGGCAGCCTGACATGCTTGAATGCTGGTGAAAGTTGCTGGTATTAGGTGTGGTTCATCTTACGGCTTTTGGAAACCAGAAAAGCAAAGTGCCATCAACCAATGTTTTTGTAAACTATCATGAGGAAGGTATATATGAGTATTCAGCAGCTTCATATAAGGTTAATATGTTTTTATAGCAATAATATGTTGTTTAGGCTTTTTTAATGTATTTTCAGGAAAATTCATGATTCTAGGTCACTAACAGATCTAAACAGGAGCTTTCTAACAAAGTATTACATTGCATTTTAAATGAAATGTAATCACCTCAGGGCAGCATAACTGTGTAGACAAATGTTAGTTCTAAGTGTTTAATAATCTTTGACCTCAACAAACAGTCTGCAAAGCAGAGTTAGGGTCTGCATACTGGGAAAACAACATTTAAGAATTTGATGTTTTCTTATCTCCTTATGAAATCACATGTATGTAATTAGTGCCATTGAAGTCAATGGGACTACTTAGATTGGTATGAAATAATTTACTGGATTAGAACTATAACATAAATTCCTCAAAAAATGATAAGTGTATATCCTTTTCAAAAGAAGTTACCTTAGCATGTAGTGTAACATATCTTAGAGCCTTGGGAGAGGGTAAATTTATATCCAAGACAAGAGGGTAAAATTATATCTGTCCTGAAATAGACCTTAAAATTTAATTTAGGAACACTTCTATGGGTTAACAGCTTGAGGTTTTTAATATTTTTTTTTAATTCTTCAATATTCAAAAAATATTGAACAACATCATTTAAACAGGAGATTTAGGCTTCAATGCTTTGGTTAAATCTGATCCCACAAGAACACCTGATAAATAGGATTTATCACTCTTATCCTGACACTTAGGATTTCTGGAGTTTCATTATTTCTTCTTCTGATCAATCTTCATGTTCAGTAAGACTGAACAATCTTGAAGCAGTCTTTAAATACTTCTCTCCTGTTAACTAAGAAATCCATCATACCTAAAGAATTAATCTCAATGTTACCAGTAATCACTGTTCTCTCAAGAAGGAGCTATTAACTTTAGTGCCTATTTACAAAAGGTTATTAAGAAATCATTAATTTCTGCAGATCAACAAGCACCTCCTTTGAACAGAAAAACAATTTCTTTTAGCAGTGTACGCATGAGAAAAGCATGTGTTGATAGATCAGGGTCATTACTAAGTGTGCTGTTTGAATTCGCTCAACTGAAACAAGGCCTAAAAATGTGTGTGGGGTTTTTTTTTTTTTTCCTTCCTCTTCAGAGAAGAAAAAAAATGTATGGCAAATAAAAAGCATTTGTAGATGTTTGAGGCTATCTTCATAAAGGAGCACTTTGATTGCATTGTTTGATATTACAGCATCTAATTTTTACACATCCACCTTTCAGACTAGAACCTTACAGTTTTGTGTTAGCATTTGATCTAACATTAGTGACCTTGGAATAGGCCCTAATTCATATTGATCAAGAGGCCATGTAAGCTGGCAAAACAGGAAGTAGGGAAGACAGCAGTGTATCTAAAAACCACTGACTCCTTCCTAGTCCTTCTCAAGGGTACCTCCTTGCCAAATTATTCTTTTACCACTGATCACAGCTTCCTTTCATGCTAAATTTAGTTTTTTCATTGAAAAATGTTTCATGTAATCACCTTCACTGGAAACTGAGAAGAAAATAAGTATTTACAGCAACTTCTTTTTTTTCCCTCTCTCTCCCCCCTCTATGCTGTGAGTGGGCATGTAATGAGTAAACAGCTAAACCATAGCTTTGGCAATTGGAATGGCAGAGAAGAAAGGATGGAAAGGGCCAATGTTCATTTTAGTAAAGTATATTTGTTTTGGTCAGGTAAAGTTTATTATTCCAAATGAGGCAGTTGTTTTATGGTAGTTTAATCATTTCTGGTAGTTTAAAGGCAAGCTGATCATCTGCTAGATGTATGGACCTCCAGTCAAATTCAGAATGTAAAGGTGGGATTTAACTTTAGTCTGTACTGTTCTTCATTTCAGTCCTACTGTTCTGCTTTTCCTCATAGTGGTTAGTAACTATTGTGACTTTTGTCCAAAGGTCAGGTCAGACACTGATAGGCTGGCACAATAGTAGAGTTGGAATAAAAGACAAGTTGAGGAAAAGACAATGCAAAATTAAAGTTTCTGGAAATACCATTAAAATATTTGGCTTAACTGAACACCAACGAATGCCAAAGGCATAGGCCCTTTATCTGGACCTGCAGGGGAAAAGAAGTAGTGACCCTTTAAGCATTTCCTGCTGGTAGGTTGGCCAGTGAGAAAATAAACTATCACCTGAACCAACAAGGTCCAGGTAAGAGAACACTTCTCTGCAAACAGTAAAGATTCTTTAAAATATAGCTTCTTTGCAAAGGCTGTTTTGCCTATGTAAATGGGTCCTATCATCCCACTCCTGACAGTGGAACAGGACAAGAGCAAACCAGACTACTGCTCTTTTTCCTCCTTCTTGAGTCTTTCAGTGAGATGTGGTAGTTAGTTATTTATAATAGGAAAGTACCCTACCAGCATTGACGAATGGACAGAAAGAGGTCAGCAAGGACACAAAAGTTATTCTTACAACTCAGGAAGGACAAGGACCTCTGAAGTCCAGATCCCAGATAAGCTAGAACTGGAAGTGGGTTCAAGGGGAAGTATCTAAAAAAGAGCTAAGGACAGATCTGAGTTTCCTAATATATGACATAGTAAGGATGACCACTTCACTGGGTCTTCTTAAGAGATAAATGCCTTCCCATGGGCTGGTACTGGCTCTCCCGGACTTGAGAGCAGGTTTCAAACAAATGGGAAGAATGTTGCATACCCTGCTGTTCTTAGATGAGTTTAGTCTTTCTGCATAACCAAAATGATATACATAAATTCCTGCAACACAGGAAGGCCCTGTCAGAGCAAGCACATGGCTAACTTGTAGCTGTTTGGAAGACGTGGAAGGTATGGAAGGCATAATCATTTAAGCTTATATAAAATCCTAATAAAAGGGATCACTGTGTGGCAAACCAGATTTATTTAAACAAACAGGACCACAGTGGCTGCTCATGCTGTAAAGTTTGTTTTCTCAAATTTAGACCTATGTTCACATTTTTATTAAGTGGCACAGCAGTCAAAATGCACATTTAATGCTTTGCCTCTTTTTAATAATGCAGAAAATATTACTAAAGCTGTCATTATTTTAATTTTGTGTCTTAGGAGCTGCAAGTGCATGTGGACCAAATTACAGAAATGGCAGCAGTAATGAGAAAAGCCATTGAAATTGATGAAAAGCATGGCTGTAAAGAGCAGGAACGTATAATTCAGCTTGAGGTAAGTGTGAAATCAAAACAGCAGTGACACAAATGGCAAGGGAGTAAATGTTACACAGTTACTGAGTTACTGTATCTCTTGTGAGTTACTGTACCAGTCACTCACACTGCTATTTTGTTACACTTTCCTTGTTGGGAGGACTGTAAGTATTATTTTCCCCACTATAGCTTACTGTCAAGCCTTGCATAGGTGATATTTCATCACCAGAAATCAGTGATTTGTATTTATATACTGGCTTAAGCTTTCTTTTTTTTTAAGCCTACTATTTTTAGCTTCTTTCATTACACACAAATTCATCCTAACGAATAAAACACTAGGATACAAAACATAATACCCAACCTTTGGCTTTTAAAGATTACTTTTTTTTAATAATAATTTTGTGCTTGAGGCGGCGGGTGTCTCAGTTGCTTATCATTGGAGCATCAACACTATTGCTTTTTAATAAAGTGCTAGCAAAGCAGTTCATTATGGGACAGCGTGTGTAGAAAGAATGGGAGATTTTTTTGAAATGCAACATTTGAACTTAATTACCCTCTTAACTATCTTTCTGTTTTGAGCTTTTTTTTTTTTGATGCTTAATGCCTATTCAAGAGATCAAGAGGGTCAGAAACCTAATGTTAAGTATTTTAATCCTTACAGATATGTTTGGAGTAGAGGGGGGGAGATTATTAATGTAGTTGACTTCTTTCTGGAGTGCTATTAAATGCCTTTTCTTTCTCTGGTTATAGCAAGAAAACAAAGGCTTGAGAGAAATTCTTCAAATAACTAGAGAATCATTCCTGAACCTCAAGAAAGAAGATGCATCAGAGAGTACGACTCTGTCAGGATTAGTAACAAGCAGTGATTTGAGCCTGAGGAAAAGCTAAAGACTGTGGAAGTCAACAAGCTTCAATTGCACACTTTACAAACAGAGTATCAGGGGTCACTTGTCAAGCACTTGTTACTGAATAGGGCACCAGCAAGCTAATGCATCTTAAACTCCAGTTTAGTGGCTTTTATGCTGCGTAAAATACATTAAAATTGGTATTCTACAAAAACCTTAGTGACAGATTAGTTGCCATAGATCTAACTTCAGTAGGAAATGGATTAATGTGCTTACTGAATGGGGAATTATTTTTATATGAAGTCATTTTACAGATAAGAGACAAGATTTCACAGAATTTATATACATTACTGCTCATAAAAAGTTTCAGTGCACCTAATAAAGGTAAGACTTAAAGTCCAATCTCCAGCTAAAAAGTAGTAACTTATAAACATGCTTTGTGCAGGATCCACATTACATTTTTTCCTTTTAGTAAGCTTTTAATAAATTCTCATTTTGCAACAAACCTGTTTAATGAAAAGGGTATTATCAGCAGCATAAAACTTAAGGCTTTCTGTTATTTAGCCAGAGGGGTATCCTGTTCAAATATAGGGCTAATTGTTTAAGCCTAAGCAATGCTTTTGCAGTTGTTCAGGATTTTTCTAAACTGAACAAGATTCTTTAAAATATATGTACTCAATTGTATCTTCAAAACATGAAGAGACCTGCTCCCACTTTATTGCTTTCTGGAACACAGGTAGCATAGTGTCATTCTGCCTTAGCTTTTACTTTTATGAGAGAAGCCCCAGCTCAGTTCTCTGTAGATAAGAAGCCACATTAGTCCCATCTGTTTCTTCTCCAATTGCCTGCCCAAACTTCTGAACTGGGAAATGGCAATTTGAAAGCACCCAAAGAGCAGCAGCAGAAAGGTGGTTGGGGGAAGGAGGGAGAAGCTCTATGGCAGAGCTGGCAGCCTGCATGCCTGCAATCAACACTCTTCATTTTTCTTTCTGAAGTACTAGTCATCAAGAAGGTTTTCAGGTAAGTTTCAGGTACATGTTAACATTTGCACTAGGAAAACTTTCAATATGCTATACTGACAAATAGACTGCTTGCTTTTAATGCTGAAATACTGGCAGAAGTGAAAAGGAAGTGGCTTTTCTAGATTAAAGTGTAGCTTATACGCAGATACGCTAGAAGTGCTACACAAGACAGGCTGGTAGCCAAGAGGTGCTGAAATAATTCATATTTGGCTTTTGTTTGTCAGACTACCACTTCTTGGTCCAGGCAGCAAGAACATTCCTTGTTGTCACAAATATATACACAATACAAAAGTATTTTCACTTTGTCCAGCAAGTTAATGCCTTGTTTCCTTGGAAAGCATGCACAAAGCAGCAGAGTGCAAGCTTTCAACCACAGAAAACTGTAGGTCTACAAATGCCTCCCACAGTTGCATATTTTGGCTGTTTAATAACTCACCTAGCAAAATGAGTTGAACTCCTACTCTGAAATCAACTCTACTTAATCAAATTTGACTTTTCAGTTGCAACAATGCAAAAAGCATTAAGCATCAAGCACTTCTAAGTGTGTCAGTTTTAAATACAACCTCCTTTGACTCACTTCAGCTTCCCTGGGCTCAAGGTAAATGCACCACAGGTCTAAAGTTGAACTTTCAGTTCCCAGTGAACTAATTTATAGGGAGCTAAATATTTTCTGTTGCTGTCAGTTGCTGCCCTCCTTCCCATAGTCCTTTTAAGAGAAAAAAAGTGACATGGTGAGAAAGAGGAGTGTTTAGCAGAGACAATAAATGCTAGTTTTCAATTAATTAATACATACACAATGAAATGCAGTTGAAGAGCTCAGAAGGGAGAGCTAAATCAAGCTCTCCAAATTTTGACAGCATATTTATAAATGGAGAAACTGCTACTTCTCTTTCCAGAGTATCTTGGCTTGTTTCTAGGCTTACGAATATATTGAAGACATTCATGTGCATGGAAAAAAGGTTTTAACCATTTCCAAACTTGCTAAACATCTGGGGGAAAGTTTTGGAGGAACATTTTAGCTCAAGCACAAAATATACTTGTCTGCTATTATTATCTGTAAAACTTTGCCAGTGCTTCTATAATTTAGATTTTACATTTCTACTGTAGCTTTGCAAGCTGGTGACTTATCAGAAGCAACATCTTTTTTTTTAATGGAGTGTGTTTTGTTGTTGCAAACTTACCAGGAGTTTTGGGTTCAGTTGATTAATTTACTCTTCTTAAATGCATCTCTTCAGCCATTGGCTGGTATCAGAGGCATTTATATCCATTTAATGTTGAATGCAGTTTCACAGCTGACTTTCTGGTTTGTCTTTCAAATACAATCTCCAGAGTTGTACAGCAGAGAAGGGTTGTTAGTCTGTGGCAGTTCTTTAAGGTTGCTCTATTACGAAATAATGCTTGATTAGTGTTTATTTTTGTAAATTCAGAAAATGTGACTTAATTTATCTACTCCTAGTCTTCACGTTTGATACGTTTCCCCTGTCATTCCCCTGACCTGATCACTTTAGTATTTTAAAGAACCTTCACAGTGTGTGGAATGACTATTTTTCATTGCATACCTGTTATTTTTGTAATGCAGATGGCTTGAAAAGAATTTATGGCTGGAATTGTGTACTGTACACAGTAAACTTATTTTATCAATAAAGTTGACTGAAAATATGGATGTCTTCATGATTAAAGCAAGGTACTGAATCTGAAATGAGCCTTGTTAGTAATGTAAGAAAAAAGGGCATAATTTTGCCATTTACGCAGTTTATTTTTATACTTTAAGGCAGGCCCACTTCTAGTGCTTTTATTCATGTTGCTGTATAGCAAAAGAAAAAAATCCTGTGTAAAGTCTTCATTTCCTCTCAGAAAACCAACAATCACTTCTGCATAAGTAGTTATTCATCTTTCAAATGGACCTCTGGAACAGAGGAGCAGTAAGGATAAACAAAAAGCAGTCCACTGGACTTTGATTTTTGGATCAAAACGTATTTTGGTACAGAGAGGATGTGACAGTTGTGGGGTTTTCTTGAAGATTTAAAAAAAAAGTTACTTTGACTTGGTGCAAGCTCTGGGTTCCTTTCTCTAGATGTGTGAATGAGAACATCGGTGGATTGCCTTCACAAGCTGACAATGTCATGTTTTTTCCACTTCCCCATGATTTCTCAGAAGAGAAACTTTTTTCAGTATCATAAATTCTGTGTTTAAAGATATGTAATAAGTGTCAAGCTAAGTCATAAATACATGTAGCAGCTATTCAACCAACATAAAACCGAAGGGCAGCTTGAGACTATATTGGGCTGGTTTGTACAGCTATAAAGCTTTAAATAGCTTTGGCTTTTTAACAAACACATTGGATTAGAAGATTATGATAAAATACAGAACTAGTGGCACTGTTTTCATGCAGAATTACATTTACTAGGATCCCTTTGTAATACCCAAAAGATTTATATTGGCTTAGGGGGTTTTCAGTTTTAGTTGGTGAGTGTTAAGCTTTAAAAGCACTTTTGCTGATTAAAAAAAGAATTTCTAAATTTCCTTATTTGAGTGTAGAACATGCACTTGTTCTTTCTGCAGATACTGATGTCTGAGATGACAGGTGGTTAAATTGGCTAACGGAACACTGTAGTGCTGGTCACAGTATGACCGTGTATACTGTAACAGTGGGAAGATAAGACAGCAGAAGAAAAGAAATCTTAAGTTGGAAGTGAAGGAACATGGTAGAGGAGTAAGTTTTAACATTAGACAACTTCTTTAACCAGCCTTTTCAACATCATGCTGTTGGTAACACTTAAGTTCTGGAAGCAGCATCAAGCTACACACTGCCAAAGACCCAAAAAAAAAAAAAAAGGGAGAAAAAGCAACAAGATGCAGCAGGAACACCGTTCAGCTGTAGGTGTCCAAAAGCTGCCAGCTGTCTGCACGATTGTCACAGAAGGCATTGTCTCAGAGGGATTCCATTTAAATTGGTGTGCAAACAAAATCATCTTATTATTGTCCTGGAAAAATCTATACACTCTCCTGCACATATTCCCAAACCAGCACCAACGAACAAATGCCCGCTCTTACTGTTTAAAGAGCGGAAAAGTAGATCCTGTATAACATCAGCAGCGGACCTCTTGCTAAACATACCCTTCCAGAACACCAAGGTGTGCTGGGAGAACCATGTGCAGCAGAGAGCTGTTTTATACCGCATGCACATACCTGGTAAAGGTGTAGGTCACAGTCTCACCTTTTGCCCATCCCGCTTTTTCTTTTGTTTGCCACGCAGTTGAATTTCATACTGATGACAGTAGAGTGGATTAATTTAAACAAAATTGTTTAGCTTCCACATATTAAAACACGCTGCAAAATAAAGCAGACTATTTCAATGACTATGAGCAAAGGTACTCATGTTCCTGCTGCCTGCAACCACCTCCCTTCCCCAGACATTTTCTGATGCAGCAGCATGCCTGTTGGGAGCCAGTGTGGCCACATCTTGGTATATGAGAACATAATTACTTCCCAAGTTTAGGGAAAAAAAAAACCCTCCTCTTATATCTAGAAGAAGAAAACCTCAAGCAACTGCTCAACATGGAGGAAAAGTTTCACAATTCCAGTCTTGAAAAAGTCCATTCTGGCAACACTCCTCAGACACGAGCTAGAGAACAGTGGCACAAGGGAAACAAGCAGAACTCCAACCACAGTCCCTTTCCAGTGCCCTAAGGTGGAGTTGTACCTTTTTTATAGAATGGCAGAATGAATAATTTCCCTACAATGCTCACACCACCAACAATACCTTAAGAAATACATTTGAGGATGGCTATTTCAGCAGTGAAAAGCATTAGGTACATTTTTGAAAATTCAGTTGTTGGTACATTTTTGAAAATTCAGTTGTTGGAAGCTTGAACAATACAAACACTGATGAATGCAGGGCGATCAGTGTCTTAGTTCACTATGTTCCTGAGCATAGTGTTGGAAAACCTATTTTTAAAGTGAATCATCATATGCAACTCATTAAATAACTGGCAGCTAGGCAAACAGCAGCTGCTTTCTACAGTACATGCTATCTGCTTTTTTGCTTCCTGCATATGACTGTTTCTTCCCCCATAGCATTCAGAATAAAAAAGTGAATCCAGCTTGTTTTGAGCACATTAGATGATTTGTTGTTACACCAGAAGGCACTAAGGATAACATGGAAAAATTGCAAAGGGTGCTTGCTTTTTTTCTTTTTTTTTTTTTTTGACAAGGCAGACTTGTGAAGACCGAGTTCCGAAGCATGTAGGCAAGTTGTACGCAACCATTTTTTCCTCCCACTCCCTCTCACACCCAAAATGAGCTAATTTATTGCTCTGTTCTGAGGTTGTCTTTCCCCAGCATGCATAAAAGTATAAAGCCTTGCATACTTAAACAAGAGACAGCTGTCTGCCTATATCTATGTGCTAGCAGACAATGTCTGAGATCAATTAAAAAAAGTTATAACCAACAAGCATCTGCTTGAACAAACAAAAATGGTATTGGAGCTATTGTTTCTAAAGAAAACTGAAACATCAAAACCTACTAATCAAAGATGTGGGAGGGAACAATCTAATCAGATGAATATTGACAAAATTCAAATAAATAGGCAGGGATATATCAATGCAT